TTCTATTCGTTCTTTATGGTATACTCTAACTAGTTAAGGACCTGATCGGCGTATTCTAGTTTTTGACGAAATTCATGTTGGAACTTGCGCAATTTTTCATCGCCATATTAAGTAAAAGTACGCGTTCCGCCAACGCCCAAACATAATACTTCTCTTATTATAAAGACTCCCCTCCCTCTCCCCTTACACCGACTTGAAAAAATAAACCATTAGATACTCTATCCCAATTGGAGAATTTTGTTGATCATTTCCGAAATGTCTGAATTATTGACGGTTGGCAACGCAGTGTTTGTCAAAGACAGGTCAGAATATACGCAGGTAGAGCGATACCAACTTCAAACTCAGCACTGTGTACAGCTTCAACAACCCCGAACTCAACCCTCAGAGTCACAAGAATATTGGGTGTTTGGCTACGGTTCACTCATCTGGAAGCCGCCTATTGCATGGGAGAAGAGGTTGGCAAATCTTATAGCTCTGGTCGTTTCGTCTATTCATACTGTGTGGGCTAGCGTTGACAATGTACTTTCTACAGAGTCCCCGGATATATACGGGGATACGTAAGAAGGTTCTGGCAGGCAAGTAGTACCCGGCTGTTTATTATTAAACCAGTTCAGACACTTTATCCCTAATCCCGATTAAACTACTAACACTATGTCTCTATACTCATTTTCCACTCAACAGCAAAGCGTTGATCACCGTGGTACGATAGAAAAACCAGGAAGAGTAGTCACATTAATACCGCATTCCGAATGGAAGCTTCTTAACGATTACCACGAACATCGTGAAGACGATGTTACCTGGGGTGTCGCCTACAAAATCCCTTCACATTGCGCGAAAGAGGTAAAGGATTACCTCGACCGTCGAGAGAGTGGCTACGCAATCAAATTGCTCGATGTGTATCAGAAAGGTAAAACACCCCCGGTAATAAAACAAGTGAGTATATAGATGATAAAAAGTCAATAAACAAATGATTTTCACAATATCGGTCCGTAAACGAAATAACCAAATGTTATCATTGCAGGCCGTTGTGTACATAGCAACAACGGCAAACGACGACTATTGTGGACCTGCACCCATCGAGGACATAACACGTCAGATTTTCACCTCTCGAGGTATGTCATCATTTGATCAAGATGATCTTTTGGGCGTTCTGATCTTGTCTATATATGTATATACTAATGATAATATAATTATATAGGTGCCAGTGGACCGAACATAGAATATGCTCTTAACCTTGCAAAGGCGTTGAGGGACATCGCTCCTGACGCATTCGATCACCATTTATATGATTTAGAGAAAAAACTGTTGGAGCTTGAGGCTTCACGTTCGAACGATCGAGCAGACTGTTGATTTACTCTGAACATAGTGTACATAGAATAATCTGCGTTAGATTACGCAACGACCGCATATGAGAGACTTTAATAGCATATAGAGACAAAACTCTAGAAGCAAAGACATTTTCTCCTCTATTGAGGTAAACATAATTAGCCACACTTTAATCAATCAGTATCAGATAGATTAATACACTTTATATTGTGATGTCGAACAGCAACAGTTCGGCTGCGAAAAAAAGAAAGTATGAAAACTGAATAAAAAACTTTTTCGCATGAGAAATGTCTGTAAAGTGAGCCTTTCAGCGATTACATGTTAAAAGAACATATACGCAATAGTACATATATCACTGTCGGAACCTGACATTGTGTAAACATACGGCTCACAAGAACAAATACAAGTCTCAAGTATTGCTTTATTGATTTGCGCACACACTTTTCCCCCCAACTCCCAATATAATAAAAATTCCCAAATGGGAATTTTCCAAAAATTTCTAATCCCACTGCAATGAGACGCTCACACGGAAACCTTTAGTAAAAGGCGAAAGGTTTATTCGTTCTGCGAGCATCCCGTGGGTAAGGTGAAGAATCCGAGACTAGTGGGGAAGACCTGTATTTATAAGATCAAGGGGCTACGGAGAAGATTGTGGGATGGATCTATATGATTGGTTACGTGCTCGTAAAAACGTCATCAGTGCACGTGTACATTGCGTATGACGTTTACCTATAGAGATCAAAATCCTATAGAGATCAAAATTCTATAGGATCAACGAGTCTCTATACAACATTTCTTACAATCATGGCGAGACGATATGACGCACGCACAACTATATTCTCGCCGGAAGGTAAAAAGAAAAGAAAACATTTCACTAAAGCGAACAAAGAATTTGTTTATTTTTTTTTTTTGCATCAGCAAACAACACGTTTAAAACCCGATAACGTTTGCGTCCGTATCAACTCGCTTAATAAGGTCGATTGTATCAGGTCGAGTATGCAATGGAAGCAATATCCCATGCGGGAACCGCTCTCGGTATTCTCGCTACAGATGGCATTGTCATTGCAGCCGAAAAGAAAGTGACTTCGAAATTGCTCGAACAGTCTGTCACGTCTGAGAAAATCTATCTTTTGAACAGGTTGGATATGATTATTGTATAACATTTGGATCGTACATGATGTTGGCAAATTGGCTTTTTTTTTTTTTCTTTGGTACTTCTTATTAACATGTTTACAATTAATCGCAGTAATGTTATATGTGGTGTAGCAGGGATTACAAGCGACGCTAATATACTGATCAACGTCGCAAGACGGTACGCTCAACAGTATTTATTCAGTTTTGATGATGATATTCCGGTCGAGCAACTCGTTCAACGGTTGTGCGATTTGAAGCAAGGATACACTCAATATGGAGGTACTGATTTTTTTCCAAGTCGAAAAGGGTGGTTTCTCGTAATCTCGTAAAAGAAAGAAGAAGAAAAAAAAAGAGACCTGCATGTCCAGTCATTCATTTCTCATAAACTGTTTTCAAAGGTCTCCGTCCGTTTGGCGTTTCATTCATCTATGCTGGATATGATAATTATTTCGGCTTTCAACTCTACCGTTCCGATCCGTCTGGTAATTACGGTGGATGGAAAGCAGCGTGTATTGGAGCCAACAACGCTGGTGCACAGTCTTTGCTCAAGCAAGATTATAAGGATGACATCACTCTGAAAGAAGCAAAAGAACTGGCAGCCAAAGTCTTGAGTAAGACCATGGATTCAACAACGCTAAATAGCGAGAAACGTATGTATTGTTTATCGGGCGGACGTGAAACAGTGATCGCTAGCGTGATTCATCGCAAAATTCATTTTGAACGTTTCTCGACAATGTGGAAATGTGTCGTTGCTAATCCGAGTTTATTGTTCTCTTATCTAGTTGAGTTTGCTACAATTCAATTGAACGCTGAAGGAAAAGTCGTTTATAATCTCTACAAACCGGATGAAATTGATGCGTTATTGAAAGAGCTTAATTTGGGTGGAAATAGCACCGAAGAAGAAGCGAGCTGAACTGGAAAAGTGTATTGTTTATATAGTACAAATTC